GTTTCATATAATATTTAATGAAATTTTAATGAAATTGTTTCATGTATTTCTCTAAAATTAAAATAATGAAGATGATAATATTCATGATTAACACCCTCCATAATAAAAATGGTTAATCAACATAATATTCATGATTAACACCCTCCACAATAAAAATGGTTAATCAACCTCTCATAATTATAAAAAAATGAACAAAATGAAAAATTATGATTGGTTGAATAAGGTTTTCACGGTTTTTACAAATTGAGTGGTTTTTATTTGAATGCTTCCCTCTATATATATATATATATATATATATATATAGAGAGAGAGAGAGAGAGAGAGAGAGAGATAGATAAGTTATTATGCAACCCTTGTCATTTATATAACCAATACAACCTCATCTCATCCATTCAAACTTTAATCTATGGTTAGGGAGTGCATTTAATACTTTTTCTTTCATTTTTTAAATTGTTAAAGAGTAATATTGAAAATTCTAAATATACATAATTATTGATTTTTTTTTAATTTTTTATAATAATTATCCAGAATTAATGAGAGTACATTAAAAAATATTGAGATATCCTAGTTAATACGCATCTTTTGTTTCATCGATTTTTTCTAGAATACTGCATCAAATTTTTTACAAAGATGGTCTCTTCCTTCATCGATTCTTTCCAGTGATGGTCTCTTCCTTCAATGATTTTTTACGGTGGTTTCATATTAAGGTTCGTAATTTCTCGCTTGCATTTAAAATTAGCATTAATGGATCCAAACTCATCCCATCGCCGACGGTCAACCATTTTTCTCATCCCCTCGGCCATTGTTGACCATCACGAACAAAAACATATGTGATCAACAATAATATGAAGATGCAAGAAGATGAAGATGTGACATAAATCAAATACGTTGAAGACAAGTAAAAAACATATCTTAAATCGTCTCTAGTTTCTTTTTTCAACCATCTTTCTGGTATTTGGTTTGATTTAATGTCAGTATTTTAAGATTTATGAATTGTGATTATAAATTGTTTTTAACATATGAAACGTTATTCTTTTTAAATACGTATAAAAACATTATTCGTTTGATTTGGTGTTAAATCTTTTTTCAACGCATATGAACCGTTATTATGAATCGTTTTTTAAAAAATTAATATTTTATTTCGTAAGTGAAACAATACTAAAATAAAATTAGGATAACATAAAATGTTATTGCTTCATATGAGAATCAATAAAGAGTTGGGTTTCATATGAGAAACAAAAAACGTTCATAATGAAGATGGTTGGAGAGAAAGTGCAGACCACCGAATGAGATTTTTAAGGAAGAGATTATTCCTAAAATAAATATGTTAAATATGATATTTTATGAAATACATAAGGAAGATGATTATTCCTAAAAACCAACTTTGTTAAAAAGACACAAATACCCTTATCTATACGGTTTGAAATAGATGTGTAGTAATATGATGATCCACATTTCATCTATCTACAACCCAGAAAGTCAATGAGAAGGCTATGAATTCATGAGGCGTTCCATAACCAATTTGATCACCGCATGAGCGTCAACGGTAACTGCCACCTTCACCGTCGGTTTGTTACACCATTCAGTCGCTTCCTCAAACCTTGAAAAGTAATAATAGGAGATATAATACCCGTTGAAAAGAAAATCGTCAAATAGGTAATTTTAGCTTCAAAGTCTACAAAATGGATTTTAATCGGGAGTCAAGAGCCTAATTGTTTGTTTACCTCTTAATAGGGCCATTAAGAGGCAACCTCTGATTCGTTAAAAGATGAATCTTGTTTGGGCAAAATAAAAGTCTGCTTCTTAATGGTTCTAAAACCCTCTGAATGATTTTGTATCCTGGATCTCCCTTAACCATTAAGAGCCCTAATTTCATTGTACACAATTACCAAACAATTATATTTCATTTTGCACTATATCATGAAAGCCTCTTAATCATTCTGCACCAAACCATCCAGCAATTGCCAAACAGTTGCATGATGAAGAATCGTGTGAGAATAGGATTTAAAGTGAAAAGCGTAAAAAGGAATCCGGACCCTTGATCACTTTAATCTCATCAAGATTGATCCAATGGTGGAGATCCTTCTTACCCTTCTCACTATAACTTCCTTTCTTAACGGAACCCAACCTAATTGAATTTCCAGTTAGTAACAAAATACAAGAAATCAGGATAGATCATGCTGCCCTATCAACTAGTGTAACAGAAAATAAGCTATGCTATATTCTATGAAGATGAAATACAAAAAAAGCACCTTTTCTGTTTGTTGAAAAACAATGTTAGTCCCCTTGTGATGCCAGTTGTCTGAACTCTGACAACACCTTCCGTGTATGTCATCAGCGAAGGATTGATGGCTGCAACAAGCGCTGTCGGATCGTGAAGGTAAACACCTACAGAAATATCCCATGAATCAGCAGATGAACTAAATGCCTTTTCTTTAATACAAAAATTCAGTTGTCTCAAGGCACATACATACCTTTCATGCTGTATGCATCACGATGATAAGAAAAGTAATAATCGAGGATTTTGCACAAATACTTGGCAAACATTCCATCCGACTGTGCCAATTTGTCACGCTCATCATCTACAAACATATTGGCAGCTATAAATACTAGTAACAAAATAGCAACGACATAATTAATAGCTGAATCAAACAATCTATGCAGTGTTGAATAGTGAACGGAATAAAAACCACCAGTAGAATGACTTCACCCTAATTGACTTGTGTTAATCAATGGATTTTTCTCAACTTGGAGGTAATTCTCCACCCATTTCTAAATAACTGGACTAATGAAACAATAAATTAGTCATTTCCTGTGTCAAAATAGTATAGTATCTAAATCTTTCAACTTCCATTACATAATCTGAAAAAGTTGCAGTTCAATGTGTTTGATTTAGCGTATGCGTAATCCATGCTTAGGGATTAAGCGCTAGAAGGTTATGCAACCATATAGCTCCTCATTTAATGCTGTTTAGAAGACTGAAAAATAGTTCAAACCAGTTTTTGTAAGCATGGCTACATAAATTGTCGATCAATTAACTAAGAACAGAATTCCACTTAGATATGGCCAGAAAATCCTTTTTATGTGCTTCAAATTTCTTATGAGCAAACGGAAGAGTGAAAGTCATCAGTATCAAGCACATATAGTATTGACTTGGAAGCATATTATAGCTAATACATAACCGAGCAGGATTAGCCTTTCTTCAGTGCATGCCTTCTCTTGTAAGTAGTAACTCAATTTTGGGCTAGTTTCTTTTCACATGCCTGCCATGCTTAAGTAATCCCAAGATTGAAATATGAATGAAAGGGAACAGAGCATGAGTTGCTCAGTTTGTGAGAGATTTATTATTTCTTATCTTTCAATTACAATCAGCTCCATTTTACAGCAGGAGCACATGTTTACATGATGGCAAACAATCAAGGTTAACTATCTAACATACATCATCAAACCTCTGACAACCTGCCATGTCACGAGTTATGCCTAACCAGAAAATGTGTTTCACTTGATCATATTCATTAGGTTCAACCAGTGTTCCATCAATGAAACCAATTTCATTCTTCACTGATAATGCAATTGACATCGCATGGATCAATGATGCGTAATTATATTCAATGAGTGGTTGAGAAACAAGTACGAGACCTAGACCATTTGAGTTATGTAGGAAATAAGGATCATCTTTTGTCATTACTGGAGGCATTCATTGAGTTTCTAGCATTCTTACAATCAATTGAGCCCAAAAGTGTGATCTGATACCATAATAGAAACCGGAAATATGAATCGAAGAAAAGTGTGATCTTTTAACAAACATGTACGAAGACTATCAACCCACTATGCGAATATCCAAGGCGTGTTCAAAGACTCAACCCACTATGGGAAGTGGATCTTCCATGAATGAACCAAGCATCCGGTCCCCTTCCATTATCTTCATAAGGAAGTGTAATGGTTTCTCATAAACCTCCATTTATTGAGCCAACTTCAATTTGCCCTCGAGATTAGCTTGATGATTTTTTTGGAAAACTAGTCTAGCCTATAGAGATGTTAGATTAACCCCATAAGCAATGAGTTGGAATGGTTGATGTAGATGCTCTAACTTGAGGAGTGTTCAGGTTTATTTGGCAAACCAATAATTTACTCGATTTGGGTGTAATATAGAAATGATATGATTTGATTTTGTCATGTTTGAATTGATTTGGTTTCGTTCATTCTACCATAATGTACTATACATTTGATGGTTCTCCATCTAATAAAATATAACATTATGGTCCCAATTTCTTTACAAACTAATGTCATTTGGTTTGTTTGCTTCGATTTATAAGTACAAATATCTTTTCTTTTTGTTAAATAATATAAAAATTGTAAATTTTGTTATTTCCTTATAATGTTACTATTATTTTTCTTAAAAATACCTTTATGATTTGCAAAATACATATTACTATTTGTGCACATCAATATTTAGTATATCACCACAGGATGAATAATAGTTAAGAGATCCACCACACAAAGTACATAAGTCCTACACAATTGACCCGACAGTATGAGCGGGGAGTCTCTTCCTAAAGCACTATTTACTATCTATGTTGCAACTTGCAAGGATATAGGTATGGGATACAAAGTGTGTGATACACAGACAACAGGATTCTTCAAATTTTAAGATAATTGGGCATATGGGGATGAGTGTAAATACGTGTGCAAAGAAAATACACAATAGAACCTAAATCTTTTACTTACTTCGTTTATATTAGTCCAAACTATAAGAAAAAATAGCTTATCTTGTCTCACTTTTCAAAGGCATAAAATTGAAGTTTATTTTATATTGTTGCCTTTGCTTCTAGTTTTGCACATTATGAATATTCATTTCTTAATTCATAAAAGGAAGACCAAAACTGCACTTGCATCCCAATTCTCTTACCCCTGAATTAATGGTCAATAATTCAGGGATATGATCAACACTGCATGGGTTGAGCACCCCACTGCACCCTCCAAAGCACCTCGTACACAGATTCAACGAGGAGAAGCACCCATGTTTCATACTTCATAGTTTAGCATTATTCTGTAGGATACACATTTTTATCTTTACTTAGAAATTTATCTATAAATATATGGAAGGTTGGAGTGGTCTCAATGCAGTTTGTAAGCACCTTAGCCATGACCAAACAAAAAAGGTCGGTAATTCTTAATTTATCATAGGATTTGGTTCAGTCTACGCCAACTTGGTTTTTCACCAATTGATTCTTGTTGAGAAAACTCAAAATCATCAGCAATGACTACAAAACTAGATCAAAAACATCTATAAATTGTAACAAGATCATTTACATAGGCATCTCATTAGCAGAAGAGTGCTAATTTGCATACAAAACTTCATCAATACAATGTATTTATTTGCCACATTTAAGCTTTATGAATTCAACATGGAAGCATTATCACAAACTTTGGAAGTTGCATCATCATATAATAATTTGACTTCACATAAAAATAGTTAAAGGTGAGATACAAAGCATACAAAGAGGATTACCTTTCATAATAACTTGATGAGTAACATTGATCCCAACAGCCAAAACATCAGCTCCGCTAGTGAACACAATATCAGCAGCTTCTGGATCACCAAAAATCTGCTTGTCCAGTCCAAGTGGAGAAATGAAATGTGAATTCATAACAAAATTTTTGGCACACAATTCTAATGATGATCGATTGTGGTCGCACAAACATGTTAGGACTTTCTGCTACTAAGTGATTGCTATTTCATTTGACTTGGGACTGCGCAATCCCTCTGTGAAGCAGACAACTGCAGAGAGAATCTTTGCTTCACCTCTCCAGAATATCTCTCAATCTAAACCTCCCTATACTCCCATCAAGTGAAAAATAAGGCTACCAGTACTGCTATATATACCGCTATAATATAGAAGAATAGATGCCATTTCTACACTTCATCAAATTGATTAGTTTGTGAACATATAACTTTTATACGAAGTTAATTACAACAAATCATGGATACTCGTCAAAGAGAACACAGAATTAGATAAGATAGACCTTCGAACTATTGGAAAAATTCGGTGGAATGAAATCTTTGATCTCTAAATGTGGAAGGGAAGGAAAAGGTCACTGATGCTTTCTGGTATTATTTATTAGCTGGCCTTCTCATCAAAATATAGGGGGATCTGAGAGTTCTGATCCCGAAAGGAATCATTATGAGTTTACTGACCACTCGCTTCACTGTCATTTCACAGGTCTCCACTTTTGCTTCCGATTTCAACTCCTCATGATTCAAATTACCTAATTTGAACTGCCCCAAATCCACCAATCACAGAGAGTTAAATATAATATCCATGAATTCATCTCAAGAAGCCAAAGAAGAGGAACATGTTCAAGGGAGTAATACTCGCACTCGATGTCCCTTCATTTGTTCAAAGAAGTAATACTCGCACTCATGTCCTTTCATTATGTTCAAAGGAGTACTACTCGCACTCTGTGTCCCTTTATCCTATCTAGAGTGTCTTTATGATCTTGCCAGTGTAGCTTCACCAACCATTGCAAAATTACTAGCTCCCTGTCCTGAATTGGATTGACAGAAGCCAAATCAACACCTCCCACCACTACTGCTACCACCACTTTCCCCTCACAGATTCCCACCTCAATAGTTGCAACAGGGCTCATCACATGAGTAAACACCAAGGAAAAAAAATTAAAATGATGCCAACATGTTGTTTAAGAGGAACAAATCATTCAAAACTGATGTTATTGTGACCATTTATGGAGAGGTTGAGCTGAATAATCTGAGGTTGGGGATGCTTGTGACCTCTACTCACTGGTCTAGTTCTGGCATCGACTAGTATCAAACCAGGGCAGTTGTAAAAGGTGTAGCGCAGTGGACAACAAGGAGGACAAACTACCAAGTGGATAGAAAATTCCGTACAACCTTGTGATTTTTATTTCAATTCAATTCAAAGTAAAAATAATTTTTGGCTTATTATCTTTGTTTTCATAAAATAAGCTTCTTTCTATTCTTCTTCTGTTTATACTTTTCTTCTTCTAGACGTTCATTTCCTTTACGATACAATATGTTACTCACAAATCCATCACCGTCCCTCTCCCTCAGTAGGGATCACAATTTTAGAGCATACATAATTTTACCTTGACGAGTTTAATCTAGTATTTAGTTAGGTGGAATTGATGAAATCATGGTTTTCATCAGTATTATTTTATTGTTGTATTTACTCATTGAAGATGCTTTTGGCCTTTTTGCATTTTGCATGTGCTCCTTCCGTAGAAGAGCATCCTTCTTGTTCTCCAAGTGGCATTAGGAATTCCATTTCCTATAAAAGAGTTGTACTTCCCAAAGGTTCATTGTCAAAGTACTGAATAGGCATCGATTTTTCTGCAGTGTTATCTCCAAACTGTCTAGTGTGAGCGCAGTTGTCTTGAGATTGATTATTGTCCACCAACAAAATACAAAGAATTCCTTTTAGTCAAAAGATAAGGATCCCACAGTATATGCTGAAACATGTCCTATAAATTAGCTACTCTCAAAGATTTCAAAAGATGGCAGAAGATCACCCCCAATCGCAAATAAACACTGTTGTTAAAGAAAGTTGTCCAAACAGTAGTCTTATGCGGTCTGATCTGTCCATTAGTTGCTTACTGGAGCTTCGACCAATCACCACCGGTCAATTCCACAAACTGAAGCTAACAATGCCCAAACCCTTTCTCTCGCTTCTAACACTATACTTCCACATTCTTACTTCAACTTACAAATTTTTTAGTTCGGGTCAGAAACATTGATCCGGTCCACAGCATGAATTTGAGACGTTAAGTATATGAAGTCCTCCACTTTTCAAACATGATATACGTAACTGCAATACTCTTATATTGTTTAATCTAGGTATCAGTATTTTTCTCATAGAAGTTAGATTATCCATTTCAGTTGAAAGGGGCCTTTTTGACTTCCAAAAGACAAAAGTGAGATCTTTTTAGTCTACTTTAAACTAATGAAGCAAGAGAGTACCATTAAGACTGAGTAACTTACATTAGCCTCAGCAGCTGGATTCACATTCCCGTTTACAGCAAAAGCACCACCAAGAAGAACAATTTGTCCAATGTTTTTGGCGAATGCAGGGTCCAGTTGAATGGCCTGCATCAACTAAAAGCAACTTACAGGTGTTCCAATAAAGTAGAAGTTGCGTATACCAAATGGAAAGAGGGTTGCGAATGAGACCAAGGCAATGTTTGTAAGGGGACCTAATGCCACCACAGTGACTTCTCCAGGATAAAGATTAGCCTGCTTGATCAAATATTCTGCAGCTGATTTTTCTATTGGTTTCGACTTTGGCTGAGGGAAGTTCTGGTTTCCAAGTCCATCCACTCCATGGACAAAGTCCGCAACCCGAAGCTTTGTCGCTTTCTAGCACAGGGAGAAAAAGAAAGAAGAAAATTGCTGACACACCATAAATTCTTTTCTCTAAGAAAAGATATAAGTGAACAAGTACATAAAATTAATCTACCAAAGGGGAAATTGCACTAAAATGGAACCAACTTTGCTTTCATACATATTTTGCTGAACGAACTTTCAGAACTTTTCATTTAACGGACCCGGTTACCAAATTCATGTTCCCCGAAATAGTAACAAAAGAAAGGTGGGGTCCCATTTTGGTGCTATTTACCCTAAAAAACATAATTCATGATCAACTTGAAATTTTTTATAGCTCCCTCACAACCTAGATGCCATGATGATGCCCCTCCAAATAAACAATGTAAAGGGAAAAAGAGAGATGGCTGTCATGATGACAAAATCCTAGAGGCATCCATTATGCAAATTCGCCAACTTGAAGCTAAATATTTGATCTAAATATTTGATCTTATATAAAGTCATTCTTGTTTTCGAGTCCATCCACCCCATGGACAAAGTTTGCAACTCGAACCTTTATCATTTTTTGGCACAGAGAGAGAGAAGAAACATGCAGAGACACCCTAAATTATTTTCTCCAAAAAGATAAGATATAAGCGAACAAGTACATGAAGTTAATATAATTAACAGAATTCATGATTAATTTGCAATTTTTGATAAATCCCTCACAATATAGGTACTCTAAAAATGTCCCTCCCAGATAAACAATGTAGATGGCAAAAGAGAGACGACTTTCATGATGACAAAATCCTAGAAGCATTTTAGTTATGAAAATTAAACATCTTAAACCTAAATCTTTGATCTACATAAAGTCATTGCATGCAGAAAGTTGGCATGAGATATCTATGAAGCAACTTAGTGGAAGAGTTCATATTTGAGTTATTTGATATTTCTACAGGCTAAAATGCTATACAAATAATGAATTATGCCTACTTTTTGAACCAAATCCAAATTCTATGTACGTTGTGAGATTTCTTTCACTCCAATGTTCGTAATATAAAGACTATGAACTGTGGGTTCTTCCAATGATGTGACAAATCAACCATATATTCTTCTCTTCTCCTAACCTTTCTAGAACTTCCTTGTTAAGTAAGCATAAAATAGAAATGGAAGGAGATGTACCATATAACTGACATGAGATCCTTCTGCAACAGGAATGTCTGTTCTCCCAGCAAACTCCAACTAAATATAAATATCAAAACAGTTATCTTTAGTTGGTATAAAGACAATGAGGAAAAGCAACAACCATCTACTTTGTAACATATTACATATAAACTTAAATCACAGGGAAATAACAAAATAATTCAAGCTAGCACTTTCTCATGCAAAAAAGGATGAAATTAGCTTACCAAATGCAATGCATTTCTAGTGGCAAGAGTGGTGTAAACATTTCCATAAATAGTTGTAAGCCCAATCACCTTGATTTCTGGTGACCTTAATGCCAGAAATATTGCCATGGCATCATCTGAGTGAACGGTTGCAGACAACATGGATTAAAAAATCAGCAATTATTTACACACAATTTATTTGTTTTTCCAATTGTGGTGAACAATCAGTAATAACATCAAAAAAACAGAGAGAAAAAACAAAATCTGTAACAATAATAAAAATTACCAAGGCAAATGTATTGTAAGGTGTTCTTGGTTTGGAGAACAAAGTTCATACACTCAAAAAAGAAAAGAGACAATGTTAAGTAACTGGGTATCGTGGTTAAATGACTTGGATGATTCTTGGATTGTGTATTGATTGCACTTTTGACTTTCCAAATAAAATCAGTATTTGGATAATCCAAGAATTAACTCTCATTCTTAAGGCAGAAAAACTCGAGTACATCACACCCTAGATTAAATGTTTGATATATTTATATGAGAGATTGACAGTTACGGGGTAGTTAGGCAATCAGTAGCTAATTGCACCGCAGTTACAACTGCTTCTGGATAAGTTTGAAATGGATCACTGGCAACTCAGAAGCTCTGAGTCGGACTGCCAACTCAGAAGCTCTGAGACATAACCCTTCACAAATAGAAGCTTCTGAAGCATGCTAAGAGGCTTTTGGTTCAACTCAGAGGCTTCTAATCCCATACTTGGTCTCCAAAGTACTAAGTTTCCGACCGAAATTAAGAAAGATTCTAACCTGAGCAGTCCTCTTCATAAAGTCCATAGAGGTTTTGGGACGTTGCGTCTAGGACCAAGAGGGTTGGGCGCATCCCCCTTGACCCCCGGGTTATAGTGATCTAAGGTGATAGGGGCAACATCTGAGATTGTGCACTACACACCTCCCAGATGACGATATGTATGACTTGTCACCTAGTCGATACCTTGTAATTGTAAATCACAATTACACCAAAACATTTGATTACACTTAAATCACAAACACAAAAAAAGGCCTCATGCTCTTTAATTTTACAAGACGATAATCATAATAATAATAATAAAAACGGATGATTATTGTTTATTACTATTCCATAAACTCCTGAAAGAAGAGTTTACCGATGCCTGGGTCAGTGTCTATGATTATCTTCTTTGGTTCCGCCATGGACGTGAATGCAGTTCTAGTATCAGGAAATGAGAATAACAGAAATGAAACTGTTAAACGGCTATCCCTTGGACCAGGGGTTTGTATGATTGATTCAAAACCCCCGGAGAATCAAAAGTGCACTGACCCTCTGCTTCGCTTCTCTCAAGGCGGCGAACACGATGCTGCATAAGTTAATAACAAAGTGACATTAGCAATTTAGATAGACAATCTAACGAACGAAAACGATTCCCACATCTTAGTTATCTCTGTGTAACCGATGCTCCCCTTAGGGATTAACAAGCATCACTTTCATTGAACTAAAAGTTAACAAAAAAACACGCAAGGGATCAAAGGCAACGAGATTGAATTCCTTGAAAAAATCCAAAAATTCTTGAACCGACCAAAGTTGAAGAAAAATTCCAATAAAAGATCTGGGTTTGATAATGAAGGTAATGACAATAAATCATGGATGTTCGTCAAAGAAAACACAGAATAAGATAAGAGACACCTTGGAAGTAATGGAGAAATTCAGTGGATCGAAACCCTTTGGATCTCTGAACGTGGAGTGGAAAGGTGACAGCTTTCTGGTATTATCTAATAGGTGCCGTGACTACAGCTCGCATTATTTTAAGAAGGAAAGGAGGGCGAAACTTTCCTGGTGAACATGAAAGGAAAAGAAATTAAAGGGAAAAAAAATAGCAACCTAATTGAAGTTAGGTATTCATCACCAAATATAAGATGAACCAGCTCTTTACCCCTTCAATGCCGCTTCAGCTGTGAATTTTAATTTTGAAGTTTTACTGGTTTTAAAGAAGATTTAACGATGATATAAGTTATATTTGATCTTTATATATTAATACAATTTGAATAAATAAGAGTTATGGTTCCAATTACAGTTTATCAACGAAAAAATTGTATGACAGTTTAAAATCCAATATATTTAAACGACTCCACAAATGTGTTCGATTTACACCAAGAGCAAAGAATCAAGAGATCGAGAGCGATACCGAGAGTTTTATAGCAATTGAATGTGAAAATTTTTAATAACTCATGGTGAATATTAGTTTGAAACTCACCTTGGGGATGGGGAGAAAACATAGAGTAATGAGAGGGTGAAGGCATGAGTGAAATGTGTCAAAAGTATCTTGAGAACATAAAAAGAAAATGTAATAACTTGTATTATATGTTATCTTAATTGTAGATTAAGAGATTTAAGATTCAATGCATAAAGTAGTAGTACTTAATGCATTATGAGTTGTTTTTAAGACTTTTAAGACTTTGTACATAAATTATAAATATATAATACTTTATGCATTAAAAATTATTTTTAAAACTTTTAATAAATCTAGTTTCAAAAAGTAGTATAGGTACATTGATACATTGAACATTTAGCTACTACTAAAAGCTTTTTATCATTTTTTTTCAATTATAAACACTTAACTATTAATTTTATCAATTATTTTTATATTATTTTTATTCAATATATTTAGTCGTCCAAAAACAAATATAATAATTTTAAAAATGACTTTATAAATTATATAAAAGTTAAAGTTATATGGTTCTTTTATTTCACAAATAATAAAATTTCAATATGTATTTTAATAAAATATTTAATTTTATATTTTTTTTGAAAATTTATTAATTAGCTAAAATATGCATGGCCAGCCAACTTTTTCTAGAGTGAATTACATTTTTGATCCCTCATGAATGATTGTTTTTTCATTTTCATCCTCCAAACTGTAAAGTACATTTTTTGTTAAATAAAACATGTTTTTAGCCAAAAACACGAACTTTGTTAAAGAAGACCCCGTTAAATTCATCATGTGCCCTTCACATTAGGGGCATTTTGGTCTTTCTAACTTTTCTCTTCTTCAAGAACATTCACCATCATCACCACCACCCATTAAACATGCATTCAACCCAAAAATATAAATCAAGTTCAAATCCAAACCCTAAAAAAGTTTGAACTTCATACAAAAACATTCAACTCTAAATTGGATTAAAAGTTTAAAAAGAATCAAACATTCAAACCTAAATCAGGTCAAACCTGAAAAAAATTCAAACATTAATAAGAAAAATCCAAACCTAAAACGTATTTATAAACAAAAACTTAAATCAAAACCTCGAATCTAAACACAAACAATAAAAAAATCCTTAAATTTGAACCTAAAATCAAAAGAACCCAAAAATTATAAGTGAATTAACAGAAAATTACATAAATCGAGTTCAAGTTCTTCGTAAATGAGACTAGATCTTCAGGTTCACCGTGAATGAGACTGGATCTTCATGTTCGATTTCGAGTTCGTCGTGAATGAACTTCGATCTCCAGATCGAGTTTGTTGTTCGTTATTTGTTTCAGATTGAGTTCGTTGTTCAAGTTAGATCAATGTTGTTTTTTTGTTGTTTGTTGTGAATTCCAAAATGATGGTTGTTCGAGAAAGGGAGGAGGGAGGTGTCGCCGAAGAAAGGGAAATGGAGGAGAAGAGAGTCGCTGGAGAAAGGGAAGTGAAGGATAAAAGAGACACCAGAGGAAGGAGGAGAGACGTCTGAGCTAAGGGAGGGTGGAAAATTTATGATTCCAGAAGAAAACTCTGTGGTGGCCTTCTCTTTGAGTCATCCTCCGCCTTCATTGTCTTCAACCGTCGTCTTCAACTGTCCATGTCTTTGTTGTCATATTTGGACGGTGGATTTGGTTTTGAGTAATAGAGTTTTATGGATTCAATTTTGTGTTTAAGGTTTGATTTTGAGTAAGAGGATTTGATATTTTCACATTTAGATGAAGAACTAGGAGTAGATTCATGAAGACACAATCGCCAATGAACAAATACAAAAGCATATAATGTAAATGTAATTGATGGAGGAGATTAAGAGGAGCCGAAGATGATTGGGAATGGGTGGTATGTTCTTCAAGCTCAATAACAGAAGGCCTTTAATCTATTAAATGTTTTTTTTAGATTAGTTTGTTTTTACTTTTTAAAGGAAAATAAGAAAATTGGGCAAAAAGATCAAAATGCTCCTCATGTAAGTGGCACGTGACTCAGTTAACGGACTCTAGACTAACTGCGTCTATGGGAGGGACAAGTATGGGCTTAAGAACACGATTTTTGGACCAAAAATGTATTTTACTATTTGAAGGGATGAAGACCGAAAACAACTATTCATGAGGGACTAAAAATGTAATTCCCTGTTGTTTTTATTAATATTATATATAATGGTTATTTGACATCATCGATTAATGTATATATTTTTCTAAAATTTGTATTTGGTTATACTAATCCAAAGTTATAACATTATATATAAAATAATAATAAATCAAATTGAAATCTATTAGTTTTAACATATTCTATTATTTAATTTTTTTAAATATTTTGTTTGTATTAATTAACATATTATATTATTAGTGAATCATTTTAAATATATTAATAAATATTAAATTTATTAATTTTTAAACATGTCTTTTTGGTCATTTTACATTTTTCAACTAGTTTATCACTTAGTTTTTGTCAATCGTATTTAGTTCATCAGTTAGCTTATTAACCATCAATTATATTATAAGTTATCAGCTATCAGTCAGTTTACCGAACATAGCCCTAGCCATTTTTCTGCGAAGTTCCATAAAGTCATCCGCAAATAGTAACTCCTCAACTTGCTGAGGGACTAAAAATCATTTTCTAATTTGTCCAGCAGTAGCATATTCGCAACTTGGGATGTGCCACTTATCCGCAACATGTTAAAACCCTAATCTCATGTCAACTTTGACCAAGTTTGACCATCCACAATTTTGGCAAAACAAAAACCCATTTTCCATGTTTTCAAATATGTTTTAATTGCGGATGTGCAATATTTTTTTAACAAAAACAAAATGATTCTCATTCCAACTATATAGTAATCGTACAATTTGTCGGTATATTAATTGACGGTTGGTTGGTACAATTATATTCCCTAATTTGATCTCTAAATGGATAAACGATTTAGAGATATAAAAATCTCTGATATCAACACTCTTTTTCTTCATCATATTTCTTTCTTTCTCCAATTTATTTCAAAATGAGTTTTGGAACCAAAAAAATTAAGTTACATCTTCGTGCTGGTGGTTCATAGGTGAAAAAGTTAATGATGAGTGAGAGTATGTTTCTACTGAAAAAAGATGCACCATGTCGTGACGTTTCCCCCAACGATTAAACATTTGAGCTTAGTTATATATGTTTAAGAAAATTCCGTTTAGACAGTTCTGTTGGTATGCTTAGGTTAGCGTGCAAGTATTGTGGTTTAACTTATGAGTTAGGTGACACTGATGATGTTTTTTCATTCATGGAATTTGCTGATGGGTCAAATAACCCATCTAAACTTTATGCTTATTGGCAGGCTAGGATCGTTTGCGTATTCCTAGTGGGCAGAATGTCCGCACAATGTCGGTGCAAGTATACGCCGACACTATGATCGCTTGCAAGTAATAAAGTGGTACAAAGTACCGAGATCGTTCCCACAGAGAAGGTATGATTGAGATTTAGAGATTTAGAGATTTATCATGAGCTTCTTGCACGAGTTTCGNAGCTGGTTGAACAGATCTGGTCGGTTGGACAGTGGGCACAATCTTCCCACTGTCGGGTTTTTCAACAGAGAGCTGCACATTACTGGAAGTTAAAACAGGGACTGTTTTCTGGACAGAAGCAGGGACTGTTTTCTGGACAGAAGCAGGGACTGTTTTCTGGATGGAAGCAGATTTTTGAGTTTCTTCCGTGGAAGGGCTCAAGATTGGAAATTTAACATATCAAAAGCATGTGAAACCTCGTTTTGATGTGTCGGTTCTTCGACGGTTTCACATATATCATCATTGACTTTTGAACTCTCCTCACTCAATATGGTCACGGCTTTGATATGTTCTTTACCTTTAGGGGTTTCCGTGTCACTAGGCAAAGTTCCTAAAGGTCTACCCTTGAGATCGGCGGCAAATTGGCCGAGTTGGGTTTCGAAACTCCTTAACGTTGCATTGGTTTGGTTGATGAAACCTTTAAGTAATGATTCGAGTRAACCATTACCCTCCGATGCATTTTGCCTAGGAATGTACGAGTGTGAGGATTGTCCATTTTGGTAATTATGCGAAGTACCTTGCCCATATCCCGGGGGATTTTGTGGTCGATTTTGGACTTGAGTAACCCCGGGGGGTTGAAGTCCAGGATTTCYGGCCCAAGAAAAATTGGGGTGATTCCTCCAATTTGAATTATATGTGGGAGAAAATGGACTATTTCTAGCGTGACTCCCAACATAATTCACCGAGACAGGATTTCCGGGGCAATTCTCATAAGAATGGCCCTCACCGCAAAAGACACAAAATTCAGACATAGGTGGGTTGGACATAATGGATTGAACTTGATTATTCTCTCMATTCAAAYGTWAATTGTTTTTAACCAAATTAGTTAAAGCTACAATTTGAGCATTTAAAGCAGAGATGGCATCAATTTCAT